CCCCCCCCACCCGTTAATTCAGTAAAATATTACCCACTGACTAAAAAAAGCTGATGAGCACGTCTGCATTTTTATGTTCCATTGCCTCCGGCAGAGATTATACAACGCAAATATTTGAAACTCAATCTTTCACTTCACTGTAGCAGTGCAAGGCAGATAAAAAGGTGGCCAAACATTTATGTTAATATGTCGGGCGTGAACACGTGTTTCGGCGTCCACATTAATGCTCTTGGCTGTTTGTGCGTACGTGTGCGTGCGTGCGTGCGTGAGGCAGAGGGACTTGGCCCAACCCTTGACCACTCCTTTTTACTGTGGGGAGAAGCAGCACATTCCAGATGTGACTTCACACCCAGTCTGGCCACTGTAAAAAAAAAGGGGGAAAAAATCTAGCCGTCATATGAATTTGGGTACAAAAAAACAAAACAGAATTAAAGCTATGTTAAAGTCCTCACTCGGCGATTGGCCGCCTCTTTAGGTTGACAGATGTGACAATGCGCCTTGAATTGATTTGAACTGCTCCAGTGTGGTTTTTGCGATCTGGCGAGTGCGGATTTACGTGCAGAAATTCAAACTCGAGTAGGGATAAGTTTAGGCCCAGTCATGCAGGGGGAATATTCCTTACGGTTATTTTAAGGAGTGGCAGGTTTCTTGCAGGCGTCAGCAGGCAAGTCCAAACTCATCTTCCCGCCATGAGCTTCCCTCCTTCACACGCTCAAAAGTTTCCTCAAGCGTCGTCAAGATTCAGTTTGTTGTATTCGGTCCCCACAAATGAACGCCAACACTCATGCTTTGGAGAGAACTCAAAGTAATTAGAAGTTAGAAAAACCAAAGAGAAGGAATGTGAGCCAAGACTTGGCCTTGCTCGCCTCCTGTGTGTTTATGAATGTTTGAATATTTGTTCCATGAAATTGTTTTCATTTATTCCCTACTGCTCGCTTTCTTTTTTTGGTTGCACTGCTTCCAGTGCTGTATGTGTGTGTGTGTATTTTTTTTTTTTGGGTCCAATTAGATTTTAGCCGATAAGTGCCGCCATGTCAATCTAATCTGCCCAGGGCCATTACAATCAGAAGTGCTGTTTGCTGAAACTTAAAACTACGTGAGCATTTAACAAATCAAATTTCAGATTCAAGCTCACAGCCTCGTGGGCCTTTGGTAACATCCGCATTTTGCCATCCTCTGTGGGGTCCGAGCAAAACTTGCTACAGCCAACTTTGAGTCTTTCAAATAACGGTGGTGGCATCAGGTCAAATGTTTGGGCTCGGGCCGCGAAGCCGAAGGGTTCTGGCTCAAGTCCCACTCGGGACAAAATGTTGGAGAGATGCTTGACTGCTTCCAAAGCGCCGTCAAATTGCCCTTGAGCAAGGCACAATCCCCACGCCCCTCCTCCCAGCTCTGAGGTGCGGCACTGTTAGCACATCGTGTAATGCGCGCCTGGATGTGCATGATTTGGTTCTGTGTGTGGTGTGGAATGCAAATACACAGCAAAGCACAAGTTGACTGTCCCTTTAGGCGAATTATAATAAGTACAACATTTGAAAGAAAAAAATCTGCTTATAACTGGAGGGTTCAAACCCTGCCTTTTTATGTACCAGCCTTATAGTGTTTTAGTGCTGTTGTATATTTTTGGGGTCTTTATCGCATGTAATTATTTTTTTTAATTTCCTGCTTTTATTTTATGTTATTTTCTCTTCTGACATCTCTCTAGCCTTGCACTCCTGACGCGTTTTTACATTCCATCAATCCCACTTTTTCCAAAGTCCAATACTTCATCCGCCCTTTCCCCAGTTGACCCCTCCAAGCAGCTCCCTGCATGTCAATCTGGGACAAATCTTAGTCGAGCCATGCAGTCATAGGCCTGTGGTCCTTGCATTCCTTCCTCACGTGACGTTCCGCTGAATCCTCTGATGCCGATTTGCCTTTCCAAAAAGTCTGACTCATTCTCTGGCCTTACCCCTGTCCCCCCACCCCATCCCCGCCCTGACTCTTAGACGAGGCGGATCCTTTCCTCATTCGCCAAAATGGATGCACTCATCTGACCTGCCTTCAGGTTATCCACCAAATCACTCCGAAGGTCACTTTCCTGGCTGTTAAATAAGTCACGACGAGCACCTTGCTAACATATGCACGGGACCACGAGGCTCAGTGAATTGTAAACTCCAACAGTTCGGGAGTGGCAGTTATTCAAAGTAGTTCCATGTGTCAAAAGTGCACAAGCAGGTTCAACTCGTGTTTTATTTGAATAAGTACACCTGATCACATTTACATTCATGTTTGGAACTTGTCTACACTGAAAAAGTGGAGAAAAATCCATTTTATTTTTTCAAGTGGCTGCACACGATTTGGATTTAGCGCCATTTTTTTTTCTAGAAATAGATAGTTATCTTAAAAAAATCTAGATCCAGATGATTTTTTTTTTCAGCATACGCGCTGTTAATCATAACGATCACCAAATTTGTTTCTCTGGGTTGTTTTGTTGAAAATCCGTTTTTCGGATATCGTGCTTTCCTGCTTTACGCTTACTTTATGAATATCGCAAGAAATAGCACACAAATACATTTGATGTACCTCTTGAAATCCACGACAGTCGGAAAGCAAAGACGAAGCAACACGTACCGATGACGTGCTCGCCGTACATTGGGCAACATGATATCATTTCAGGGACCTTGGCCGTTAAATTTTCCCTTTTACGAAAAAAAATGCGGTGCCGCCGCACGTGGTGGAGTGGCACATGACTTTGACTCACTGGAAAGACCAAAACCATATACCACAAGCTATAAACGAGCAATGTGGAATAATAATTCATTCCGAGTGTGAAGCGGCCTCCTCCATTTCTCGTTACCTTTGCCTCCATGTCTTCGCTCCACCCGTCTCTTCCCCACCCTTCTTTTTTTTTTTCCTCTCTTTCTTCCTCTCAAGCCTTGACATGCCCTCAATTGCCCCCACCTCTTTCTCGATTGCAACCAGCAACATTCTTTCTTCCTGAAACTTCTTCCTCTGAAACAAAAGCAGGAAAAGAAGGGTGTTGATCGGGAAGAAATGCTACTGGAACCTTATGTTTTTTGCGCTTGTGTTGATGTCTGCAGCAACTTAAAAACACACACACACACACACACACACACACACACACACACACACACACACACACACACACACACACACACACACACACTCATTGTAATAGTTTTAATGGCCTCAGACTTTCTGGATTGATGGTCAAAAAAAAAAACGGAGACACACCCCACTATTTTGTAAGTCTTCCGGTGTGGAAGCTATTTAATATGCCAACGGGGAGAACTTCTGCAGACGTCACGACCGATGCTTTTGCCCGTATCGTGTGTGATTATGATTCGGCCAGTCTGTCGCCATGGTAACCTGCGCACATTCATCAACGTCCACTGTTAGGGAGTTTCCCCCCCCCCACCCCCACACACCAAAACCTCAGTGAGTCATCTGCTGCCCTCCCAGAACAAATTCACCATCAGCTGAGTGACAAAGTCAGGAGACACCGAAGGAGAAAAAGGATGTTGTATAAGAGTCCCCCCGCGGGGGCGTGTGTGGACAGAAAGGGGGAGGGGCTGGGCCAGCGGCGGCGAGTTGTGGGGGTGCGAGCTGGACCACTAAAAACTAAGGGGTGGGTTGGACCCAGTGAAACGGAGTGTGGGTTTTTTTTTTCTTTTGGGGAGTCGGCAGAGGCAAGATGGGTGTGTGGACTTGAAAAAGAAGGTGGGGCAAAAGTAGGCGGACTGGTCGTCTCTCCTGTTCGTACTTTGCCAGGCTGAGTCTGAAATTAGTGTTCGAGACAGACAGCCGTCAAACAGTAAGTTGTGAAGATTCCTATTGCCGAACTCGGTGAACAATTCTTAACTTTGAGAAATTGTTGCTTGTTGTAATGAGTAGTTGAGAGTGCGCTTGTGCGCACCCACTAGTTCTTTATCTGTTTAAAATAACATTTAGGATGTTTTACGCTTCTATTGCCACGAGAAGGGCCGTTTTGGGGTTTGGAAACGTTCGGTTTATTGCGGTGTAATGCAATGTAACGTGCTTGTGTTGAATGTGGCGGGGAAAATTGAGAGTGTGTGTTTTTCCATGTCAAGTTTCCAACTTCTTGGCATTCCTCGTCTTTTCTATGCCCCCCCCCCCCCCCCC